TTGGCAGTGTGAGTGCTGCACCCACCTAGGGGCGGGTTGCCTGCAGACAATATAAGGGAGGGAAAGAGGCTTGCTCTCCCCCACCCCTTTTGCTCTTGCTGCTTTGCTATCTTCTGCTGCCTTGAACTGTTGTCCCTGTACCATACCACCCTGCCTTGGAGCCGGATGATTATAGACTGAAATCTCCACAAACTGTGAGCTAAATAAACCTTTCCTTCCTTAATTTTGGGCATTGGGTATTTTGTCTCAGCAGAGGGAAAAGTAACTGAGATAGAATTTGGTACCAGAGAAGTGGGGTCATTGCTGTGACTATACCTGACCATGTGGTTCAAGAGCCTTTGGGAATGGCTTGTGGAGTTTGGAAAGGTTCGGAGATGTTGCCTGAAAGAGTAGAGCTCAAATACCTTAGGTTGTTCTGTATGGGAGATTCTGGTCAGAGCTCAGAAGACCAGAAAACTGGTAAAGACCAAGCTCAGGAGGTTTCTTTTGGGAAGAAAGACTGTATTGGTTGTCGGAGCCCAGACAATGTTTGTTATGACTTGGCAGAAAGTTTGTCTGCATTTTGCTTGTGTCTTGAGACTTTGCCTGAGCCTGAGATTAAGGGCAGTGGACTAACTGATCTGGCAGAAGAAATTTCAAGGCAGTTGAATGTTGGGGTAGTGGCATGACTATTGTTGGGGGCTTTTAGCCAGATCTATGTTGAGAGTCAAGAGCAAAGCACCCAGCAGGATGATTTAAAACATTGTGAGTTTGGCCAGAAAGGAAGCTCCAGTGAAGCTGTGGACTGCAAACATAGAGCAGAAGATACTTAGATTGCTGAAAAGGAACAGGAGAATAGAAAAGACAGCCTGAAGGCATCACAAGAAGCAGCAAGTCTCTACCCTTTGCAGCCTCAAAACTGCAAAAGTGAAAGACTTTGCTTTGAGGAGAAAGCCACAGAGCGCCATGTTCCAGAATGGCGGCAGCACAGAAAATTTGTTACTCAGAGTTGGATTCAGTGTGCCCAGTGATCCAGGCACTCAACCCCTACAGCCAAGAGACAGGAAAGCCTGGCTACTGCTCTAGCTGGCAGCAGACCTTGGCATCGTCCACATGATGCTGGTTTTAGGTGTAGGCAGAATGCAAGAGCTGTGGGGTTAAGAAGGTTTCCCAAATTTCAGAAGGGCTGGGCGGCCAGGCAGTGCACCCCTGAGAGGGCAGTGTGTAAAGCAGTGGAGAGTCCAGAAGTCTGAAAAAGCCAGGAACATGGATCATCTAAGGAAACCTGCAAGGAGGGAGCAAGCCAGCCCAAGACAGAAGCTGTGGGAGCTATAACCACCAGAAGTGCCATAGGGGTGGAATCACCCAAGCCCTCCGGAGTTCACATTTTGCCATAGGTTGTGATGGATGCTGCACGTGGAACTACTAATGTTTGCCCTGCTGGATTTTGGACTTGCTTTGATTCCAATCCTTTGTATTCCCCTGTTTGTAACTTTTGGAATGGAAAGGTCTATTTTTTGCCACTGAATGCTGGAAGTGTTTAACTTTCTTTTCATTTGTACAGAGGTTCACAGATGTTTGCCTTACATCTCAAAGGAGACTTGAGACTTGGACTTTTCAGCAGTGATGAAACTGTTAGGATCTTGGCAACTCTTACAGATGGACTAAATGCGTTTTGCATAAAAGATGTACGGTACATGAGTCTTTGGGGGGGTGGGCTTTTCAGGGTGGCTCAATCTAGAGTTTGTGATTGGTTCATTGTCTAGGGCTAGGATTTGCACTATGAGTGATGCACCCGCCCCGGAGCAGGTAGCTTGCATACAGTATAAG